AAATGCATGCTCTAGTACTTTCTACTTCGAACTCCCATTATATCGACCATGCCACATTGATGACTTTTCTTTGCCTGACAATATTTTCACGCGGTGATGGTACCATAAGTATAGGTTGAACCAGTGATTTGGCCATCAAAAGTAGTAGCGATGTTCTAATTTTCTTCTCCCGAAGTGTTTAAGGTTCTTACTAGTTATAAATTTTTATAAACTAGTCCTTGAAACCTATAACAACAATACATAATAGTTTGCAAATGATCATAAATATTCGTTGATAAGAACCCAAAAATCAATACACGAAGTGTTTTGTAAACCCCCTCCAACTTCTTTTTTTTTTTTTTAAAAAAAAAAAAAAACTTTGAGTATGGATCGTTGCAATAAACAGTTTGACCTTTGCCACGAACCTTAACGCTTTTATTCACATGCATGGCGCACACTAATCATACTGATACACTTAAGACAAACACTAATCACAAAGCACATACCATGTTACACTCTTAGCAGAAGAATGAACGAGAGAGAAAGAAAGAAATCAGATATTGAGGTAGTGTTTGGTTCGGGACATATCAAAATTATCTCATCTAAGTGTAAGTGGGTATCCTAAAACACCACGTTTGGTTGAGGACAACGTTGAACTTAGCCATCATTCCTCCTTGCCCAGCTATCGAAAGATGAGTGAAAAATGGATGAAAAACACGGATTCAGTTTCCCTCTCCGACGATGGTATTGCTGAGAAATCCATTTTGATGGAAAATTTAGATGAAAAATAAGACAAGTCTACCCTCGTTAATCCTAGTTGTACCCCAAATTCGAACACCAGTCTGACTTCGTGAACTTGCACCGAACATCCCTATCCCGTTCCATATTTGTTCTTTGTGCAGCTCTGGAACCCAAACCGTTGAAACCCAAACCTCACTATGAATGAGGAAACCCAGATGCTTGTGTTCGGTTATCAGGTAATGGTAACATTTCTGTTTTTTGGAATCAAGTTTAGTCTGTAGTTAATGGAAAAGCGTCTAAAAGTTTGTTGTCTTTCGTAGCACGTTCCTTTTATTTAGCTAGTGAAAGAAGAGTCCCGTGAACCGGATCTAGCGCGAAGTACAAGCCGGTGGTTTGAAGACCAGCACCCGATTTGTTTTCGTTCAGACAAGGGATCCTCTTATTTTCGTCACAATATTCCGGTAAGACTTTGTGGATTTCTTTGCAGGAATCGAAGGCATATTTAAAAAAAAAGTTTCTTCCTTTGAATCTTGATGCTGATGATAATATGTCTATGTTAATGTTTGACCTTCATGTCTCCCGTTGTCTGTGAAATCCTTCGTTCCGGGTTTATGATAAATTCCTCCTTCAGGCGCAGGACCCACTTGGTTCAATCATTCTCTGTTGTGTTCCTCTACTGGTTCTATGTTTTTTCATTGTTCTGCAGTTTAAAGTGTATTGCAATTTTAATCCTATAAAAATCAAGAAAAAAATATGGGTAACACTTGCACCCTTTACAAAAATAAATTAGTTTATACTATTACATCTTTATCAATGGATAGCACCAATCAACCAGACTGTATCCTACTTTATCATTATACAACTCATATTTGTGTTTTTTTTAGTCTTTGTACGAGATATTTCTATAAGCATTGTGGTAAAACTATGTCCTCAAGTACAATTATGACAAAGGCCCCCTCAACAATCATCAATTCAATGACATACTGGTTGAGAAAAGTTAACTATACAATTGAAATGCTCTCTACTGCCACACACTCATTTATAATGCATCAATTCAATAAGAAGCGACAAATATACCTCATTTAAATTCAGTGTGAAAACTTTCATAACTATGAGGGTGAAAACAAAACATAACGTGAAAATGAATACATTAGAGTTCTTGTATATAAAAAATACAAAACAAACTATTTGATTTATTGTCTGTGTGATTGAAACCCCTGTTAGCTTAAATAACCTTAATGTTGTCGCGAACAGCTACAAGTTGATTTTCTGTGTTACACCCAATAAAGAAAATAGCAACTCATATTAGCTTTTTTCAACTTATTTTTCAGCACATGAAGATATAAGGCATCGATCCTATCCATGTTTGCCTACTTACTTTATTGCCTGTACAAAAGAAACTCAAGCAATTTGATTTGTTTCTTCTGACTTTGGCATGCTTATACACTTGCATTTAGCTCGTTTTTCACCCAGAGTCTGCATAAAGTAACTAAAAATAGAAGGTGTCTGGTTGCTGGGTTGTTGGCAAATTTCGAACACTAATTATACCTTCAAAGTGATAGCTTGTCATGGAAGCCAAACTACTGCCACTCTTTTTTTTGTGACTGTGGTACTCACATATTTTTTGGTACTTGTTGTGCTACTGCAACTGTTAATGGTTGATGTAATTTTTTGGATGATGTATATACCACTATGTTGTAATTTTAGGTTATAGACTAGCTATAGGGTCATCACACAAGCATAGTTAATGTTGTGTCAATATTGTCCACTGTTCATGTAGGTGTACTGTCATGTGTGTTATAAACAGATTTAATTGGGAGTTTTTTGTAACTACTACATTATAAAACTATGCTGTAATGCACTTGGATTCTGATATTAATTATGTTTCGTTTTCTGTATGTTGTAATTTTGTGCCTAATGCTGCTTCTCATGGGAATGAACCCTACTGCATTCATAAAGCAGCTAATATAGACCCTTCTCTGTTGTCGATATGTATAGTGTTGAGCAGGTACTGCCGTACTGGGAAGCACTGCATACTGCTTCTGATGGAAATGATAACTTGCTTCTAGTTTGAATGTATCACATAACTGTCATGTGATTTCAGAATGATGGAAGGACACATTCTTGATTCATATACTACTTTCAGTAACATTTTTCTTTTTAACCCGTATGCCACTTTTGGATTGTGTGTGTTGCAGGAATATTCACTTGTGTGCAGTGTGATGACAATGGTGAAAACCCAGCATGGGAAGCCATTGGATATGAAGTTGACACTGATGGGAACACAAGCATAAAATTCACAAAGAGAGGCATCTTGAAAAGGGAATAGTGGAAGCTATGAATGAGACCAACTTGAGTCTGCCTGAGTCTCTTGTTCAGTAAAGGTCTTCAAGTTGCTGTGGATGCTGAAAACAAATTGGTCAAGATGAAATCATGTGATGTAGTAATTGTTGGGTCTGGTTGTGGGGGAGGAGATGCAGCTACTGTTCTTGCAAGTTCAGGACTGAAGGTGCTTGTTCTTGAGAAGGGTAACTACTTTACTCCCAGGGATTATTCTTCTCTAGAAGGGCCCTCTATAAATGAACTTTACGAAGTAGGAGGAACATCAAATTGGGCTGCTGTTATAGGTACATGAAGATGACTTGGTTGCTCAGTTCTTGAACTTTGTTGAGGTGAAGAAGGCCTTGGGGGTGAATGAATCATTTGTGTATGAGTTATGCAGTAACATTGTTGATGCTGCATTACATGCTGATGTGATGAAAAGTGTGAAATATATGGTAGAGCACTTGGTGAGTAAGAGCAGGGTGTTGTTATACCAAGGTCGACATGATTTGAGGGATGGAGTGGTACAAGTTGAGGCATGGGTCAAGACAATGAAATGGGAAGGAATTTTGGAGTTTCTGAATGCAGAAAGGAAGATTTGAAAGGTGAATGGAGAGCTTTCTGGGTATGTACAAAGTTGGAAGACACTCACCAATGTTGTGGTTTTGGGTGCTGGGCATCTTGTGCCTACTGAGAAGGCTGTGAATTCTCAAGCAATGATAGAAGACTGGGTTTTGGGAAGGGGTTTGTTTGAAATAGTGCAACGCGAAATTGTTTAATGAAATTCCACTTGGTTGTATTTGTAGTGAACGGGCAAGGTTAAACTGTGAATGAGATTAAACTATGAGCTTTATGTCATTGCAGGAACTGTATTATACTTCACAGTTAATGAATAAAGTTCACTTAGTCATATAGTTTATCTGTCAGAAATAAATTTCTTAACAGTTTTATGTTCTTTAAGCAGATTTTGTTATTATTAATATTATTATTATCAGATTTGAATTTATCATATATTTGATTATTAATACGAACAATTTAGCAATGGAAATAAAAAATTAAGTTAAACGTTAACAATAAGAAAAGGTTACACACCATTTTATATTATGAAAAATAAAAAAACATGTATTTGTTGACTGGTGTAGTTGTTTGTTTACGATTTTCAGAATTGATTCCTAAAAATAAAAGTAACATGAAGATAGTTTTGCTGTGAACAATTACACTGCATAACATTACCACCTAGCAATGAGATGAGAATACAGCAAATTGTTCTGAGCAGTAATATATAGCTTGAGCAAAAGTATGTTATGATTTTTCTATTTTTCATTTTAAAAGAGTATTACCCCATTATAAGTCTTGGGATGATGTAGGCTATTTTCTCCATAATGCATGAATAAAATCCATACGTGCACTGCATACGGTTTAATACTTACTCTCAGAAAAAAAATTCTGTTATTCATACGTGCACTGCATACAGGGTTATATTGTGTTGGGGGTTATTTTGTAATTTGATTAAATTTTCCCATTTATATTTTATCTTCAACCAAACACACATTCAGTAATTTAACTCAATTTTGCTGGTAAAATTTTGCCCAACCAAACAACTTTTTTAAAACTTTCCTATCTAACTCACTTTCCCCGGAGATTTCTAGTATTTACATTTCCCTATTATTATAAAATTTCTCCCCAATCAAACACTACCCGAAAGAAAACATTGGTTTATTCATATTCACATACCGTACACTTCAAAGTACAACTATTCATACACTCAGCTACTTAGGGATTGCATATGCTTTAATTCCCTTAACTTCCTAACTGACTCATACGTACTACTATACATGTATATCAAATACTCTCCTACTTTAACGCAACTGCCATCTGCCACGTCAGCTACGCAAAGTCTTTTAACCACGGTGGAGTTCTCTTTCCATGACTAAAACTCACTCTTTTTCTCCAGCTTGTCACTTGTAATATCCTTTATTCGAGTTCTTAGCAATCCCATTGATAGACATTTTAGATTTACGAAACCGCTTCTGTTTGGATAGTCGTTCGGCAAACCTGCAACAGAATTATTTAAGCGTAAAACTATGATCGAAAGTAAGGTAGGGTACCATTCCTATTCCTATATACAGTTTTATTATACCCGCGCTATTCCTGAGTTTTGTTAAATCAGGTGCATAAATATATTTAATACCTCTTGAGGGCTTCCTCGTTTGTTTCATAATGGTTAACAGGTTCGTAAATGCCAGTCTTAAAGTTAACCTTAGAAACTGGTTTCTTCAACAATGATTCTCCAACTTTCACGAGATCATTCAAATTCTTCTCGCTGGCCACGTCTACCGAAGATAAGTCCCCACTTAATGTATCGTCCTACAAATTTTGAATAAATTTTATATAAATGTTAATTTGTAAATATAAGAATTATTTATATAAGAATATGTGTATAATTAATGAGAACCTGGATTCGGAGGTAGTTATGTTCAGATTTGAGTGCTCGGAGTAAAGAGGCTAAGTGAAAGTCAACCATGTCAGAACTGGCTTGACTAAAGGCATCAATTAAAGGGGTGCTACCATTGGTTGTGGCTATCCAACTCAAGATGCCCCATTGAGCTGCCTCATCTGCACTGTATTTCTTTTCCTGTTTTGGAGACCCTGTTCCCAAGGATATCACCAAAAACCGCTCGTATTGCATCGCTTCTACATTTACATTTGCAATTGGCCCGTTCTGGCAAATTTTGTTCGTCACTTCCGCTATCGCAACCAGCGTCTGGAAGGCCAAAAAGATCACCTTTTTATGTTGATTATAGTTAAATCGCTAAAGTCAGTTAGTTAATTAAACTGCATGCTAAAAGCTATATATCTCCAATAACTATCAAGCACGTGTTGGCTCCAGCTTAACAAGTTATAGGGAGAGCTTTACCGTCCCTAATAATCCAAATTAATCAATTAACCAATAAACAGGTAGAAAAAAATAAAAATAAATTTTTTTTGAGTCCCTAACAAAAAAATACCGTCATCACTTTAGTCTCTTACCAACAACAAAAAAAAAATTAGTCGTTTGATCCTTATGAATTTCAAAGGTGAATCCATTTTAGTCCTTTCGAGGGACTAATGTAGGTCTTTTTTGAATTTGTAAAAAATCACGATTCCAACTAAATGGGTCCACTTTGAATTTCTTAAGGACTTCGTTACTATTTTTTTTTGTAAGGGATTACAATAGGGACAATATTTTTTTGTTAGGGATCCAAAAGAGACTTTACTTTAAAAAAAACTATATCTAGTGGACAATTGCAGCAATATATATGTATTAAGAGACCCATTACGATTGGATTAACAAATTATAACGGTTGACATTAATTGATTTTAATTTGCATCTGTTAAGATTTGATTAGCAAATTATAATGATTAACATTAAATTAATTAGAAAAATAAAACTGTAACCTAATTTAAATTATTCTGTATCTATATATCCAATTGTATAACTGTTGTAATCAGTCTTAATTTATCTCTCAATCAATAAATTAATGAATTCTTCCTAGAATATTTGAAGTAATATAAAATCTATTTTATATTAAAGTAAATTTGCAGTACTGGGTTATTTGCAGCGACGCCACCGTCTATAAGGTTGAACTCGCTTATCACTTTGCCATGGTCGATTTTGGTCTCAAAGTAATGAGGTGGAAGATATGTTGGAGCTGCCGAGGTTGCAATGCATATATCCGACATCAATGCATTCAAATCTGGCCTCTTCTTCAGCTGCGGTATCCAATTTGAAAATATATTAATATTTCATATGTAAGATGGGGATATTTATGCATATGAACGGGGAGATAGTATACTTCCAATCTCTTATAACTATTTTTGTTATGTTTTGGATCAAAATCAAAGCTCTCATTTTGGTGTTAATTGAATTATAACAATAATGATTTGAAGAGGTAGCAATGCAAAAGACGTTATAAATATAACTAACCTTATATAATAATTTTTTATTTTCTCATGTTATATAATATGAGGAAGGATATTCTTAGAGACCAAAATTTTCTACTACCAACTTACTACCTATTTAATTACCATTGGATCAGCATTCTCTCTCCTTGATCCAATAATGATTAAATTGGTAGTAAGTTAGTAGTAGAAAATTTTGGTAGTAAGAATATCCTCCCTCATATGATATATAATAAATTTAGATAAGAGAAATGAACCTGGAAGCTGGAAAAGATGGTGGGTTGAAGGCGCTTGATGTCAAATGCTGGGATGACAACATTGGTCAGTGTTTGGTCCAATTTTGTGTCTCCTAGTTTTCCCCTAAGAAGGCTACGTAAATACTTGCCGCTATACCGGGGTCGACCGAACAGATTTTTGGTGAGCTTCACGATATTTGACAATAAATTACTGCACAAATAACGGTACCATTACACTGTAAATTAGGACATCATGTACTTTGATTGATTTGATGAAGTTAAAGTATGCAATATTTACTTATTTTGTGGGAAGATTTTTGGACTATGCTCAAGGAAGAATTCCTTAATATCTTTGGCAGCGTATAAGGGTCGATTTTTTTCATTTGGAGCAGTAAGCATTGTAGTCACTAATCCACCAGTACTTGTTCCCGCAATCACGTCAAAGTAGTCTGCCAATCTTGCCTGATCACCATCCAGCTTCTGCATGAACCATAAGATGACAAAATGATTAAAAGGTTTAAAATCTCGACTATAGTTAATGGGTAATCAATCCACTTCTCATCTGCAAAAAATTCTTCTCATGTCATCCATTATAATTATATATTTGAAAAGTACATAGTTATAATAATATTAAACAAAATTTGAAAAAAAAAATTAATATTATAATTATGTATTCTTCAAAATACTAATTATATTGGTTGACATGAGAAAAAAATTTAGCCGTGAATTTTAATGGAGTGTAGTTTTATGGCTTTGATGTGAGCTTTGATATGTTACCTGAAGCTCTGATTCCAAGAAACCAAGTATAATTCCAGGAATGATTCCCCTAATGCCACCCCCATCAATACTGAGCACGGTAATTAGGTGTTTATCATCACTTGGAATTGGAGGTAAGGGTGCTTTTGTTGTTTCCATTTGAGTTTGATGTGTTGCCACGAGAGAGATATGGAATGGAGGAAGGCTACAAAAGAAAACTCTTAAAATCTTCAACAAGCTTGTTTGATTAATTTGATCGAGGAGTTCTTAGGTGTATGTATATATATAGGGATAGGATCCGTTTACAAACTTTTTTTGTAAATTACACTAAGTACGACCGGTCGTACACTGCATAATTAAAGTATGACTGGTCGTACTTAATCTTCCTCGTGTATATATATATATATATAGATCATGAACTATACAGAATAAAAATGTCGAGTATCCTTCTAATTATTGCCTCGTTTTTAGCGTGTTAAATTAATGTCCAGATACATAGAGAATATCAGTTAAAAATGTAGAGAAATTCATGTATTTATTACCTTGTTTTTATAGAGTTAAATTAATTTCCAGATATATAGAAAATATCAGTTTCCTATATCGCAGGGTATTACTCATATTGACTCGGAAATGGATCCTCTCATGTGTCAAAAAAATATGATATGATCATGTGAGAAGATCACAACCATACAAAGCTAAATCAACGGTTATGATTTCATAACTACCTATTTTATCATTTTTTCCCTTTTCCTTTTTTACCATTGATCTACCTTTGCATAGTTATGATTTTCCACATGACATGGTCATGTGAATTTTCACATTAGAGGATCCGGATCCTATTGACTTATTGAGTCCTTCTTCACATGTAAATCATGTTTTCTTTGTAGTGTTGGTCCCCGCAAGAGATGTATTTAAGACTATGCATGTATCAGAACCATATACATAACCTTAAATACGGACAGCAACCCTTTTCTGTAGCTATTTTTTCTATAGAGTAATTCTTCACATGCTAATCGTGTCTTCTTGTTAGCGAATTAGGCCAGTCAAAAGAGGAGATGCGCGGAGAAATGTCAAACATTCGAACCCTATACGATAAAAACATTGTTTTAAAAAAGTTGTCTTCTTTTTTAATCTGTTTGCTAGTGTTTTATATGCTGAAAACATTTTTTGTTTAAACTCAGCATACCATATTATATGTTTGTTTAAGCTCAGCATATCGCTTTTATATTTTCCCTTTTCCTTACATGATAGTGTGTTTGAAACAACAAATTTGAAGAATCAATTTGTTTAGTCTGGTTACCTGAACTAAATGAGTTGTTACTCTTTAGACTTCTTCTATTATGTTTGATGATGATGCTCAGTAGCGTGTTTCCACTAAAGGGGACTGGTTTAGCCACAGAGAGTCTAATACTGCTCAAGCTTGGGTACTAATTTGAGCGTGCTGAGGTTTCTGCAGGTGCATCCGTGTAAATAGGCTAGGCTTTGATTTAAATAGGTTAGATTTGTGTAAAAAATATTGGGTCTGGCTTAGCCTGTTAGCATGTGTAGCCCCAAATTACAAGTCTGACATGACCTATATTTAAAAAATAAAAGCTTTGGCCTAGGTCTGTTAACCTGTTTAAACCTATTAAACATTCAATAATTAAAAGAATAACTAAAATAATATTACTTTATTATTCAAAATTATTAAAGTAATAATTTTATTTATTTTATTTAAAATAAATAATACGATATAAGTAAGCCTGTAAGCTTATAGACCCGACATGTACAAAAAAGCCTGTGGCCTATTTTCTAAATAGATTTTCTTAAAAGCCTAGGGCTGTTCTATTTTACTATTTATAATAGGTCAAGTTTGGCATAATATAGGCTAGGTCGTAGGTCCCTGTAGATCGGCCTAACCCATTTACACCCCTAGGTGCATCACCCCCTTCAATAAATGGAGCACGCAACACATTAATTATAAATGCTATTATTGTATAAGCGAGTGTATCTTATGTTGTGAAACAAAATCAAGGTGGGTCCCACTAAAAAAAATTCAAGATGGGACCTACCTTTATTTTGTTTCACAACATAAGATACACTCTCTTATGTAACATAAGATTAGTTTTACCCATATATATATATATATATGGAAAAATAGTTATAACATTAAAGTTACTTTTTTTTTCTCTCTTCTCAGTCACTTTTCATAGTTATGAAGGGTAGTTGTAGATAACTTTATCTAAAGTGCTTTAGAAATGTTTACCCTTATATAGATTTATTATTTGTATTATCACTGTATATAACATTTCGTACAGTTAGCCCAAAACGACGTCATTTTGGGTGGGATAAAGGAAGTTCACGTTCAAAATTTATTTTAAAAAATGGAAATACTATATTTATTTTCACCTTTGCCTGGTTATGATTTTCCATATTTAATGCTTTATATTTATTTCCATCTTTGTATGGTTATGATTCTCCATATTTAATGCTTTCACACTATAAAATGACGTAGTTTTATATAAATGTATCAATGATTAGTTGCAGTCATTGTGCATCCGACAAACATATGGTAAAATTATTTCTGCAGTCATTTTACGTACAACAACGACAGGTATATGGTTATGATTTTTCACATTTAATGCTTTCATCTTTTGTATGGTTATAATTCCTTGCAGTTAATGCTTTCACGTATATATATGGTAAGTATTTGATTGTTGCACGTACAACAAGCTGTATAAATGTAAACCCCTGTGTGTGTGTCAGTGGCGAACCCAGGAAAAAAAAATTATGTCCGTATATTTAGTGGCGGGGGTTCGAGGGCAGCGCCCCCGAATTTTTTTCCTGTAAAGAAAGTTTAAATCAATGTTTAAACTCGCTCATAATCTAGTTGTTTCCATAACAAGCTGCAGGCAATAGTTTGACCAATTATTTCTCCTCCCTAAATCTTACCAATCCTTCAAAACAAATATGAGAATATACTCCAGTACATCCATACATCATCATTCTATTTTATAGTGGTGAATAAAAAAGTCAATACTACCTGTACAGAAGGCAAGCAAAATCACAGTAAAGGCCTCTTCTCTAGATATTAACTTATTTGAGAATGTCAGACCTGCAATCAATCCTATTTTTTCATAAAAATGAAAAAGGAAACAAAGGATGAAGAGAGCATGAGAATGGGTACGTGATAGGGGAGGAAGAATACATTTTCTCTTTAATCAATTTGTGTTGCTACATTTTTTTAATCATTTATGTACGTTGCTACGTTGCTAACTAATATAAGAATAAATATCATTTTTGGTCCCTAACAAAAAATTCGGTTCCCACTTTATTCTATTATAAAAAAAAATTAGTCACCTGGTCTTTATGAAATTCAAAGTGGACCCATTTTGGTCTTTTTGAGGGTCTAATGTAAGTTTTTTATGTCCGCACTTGCGGGCATTTGCCCGCAAGTGGGTCCGCCATGGTGTGTGTGTGTTTGAAAAAGAATATGACATGGTTATGTGAGGAATCATAATCATACAAAGGTGGATCAATGGTAATAAAGGAAGAGAAAAAAAAATATTGAAATAAGTAGTTAACAAATCATAACCGTTATTCACTTTTGTATGGTTGTGATCTTCCCACATGATCATGTCATATTTTTTTTCACATTAGATGATCTATTTCCATATATATATATATAGGGGAACGTTATATTTACAAAAATTTTGTTTACAAACTACACTAAGTATGACCGGTCATACTTAGTGTAATTTGTAAAAAAATTTGTAAACCGATCATTCCCTATATATATATAGGGTTTGTTTTTTCTAAAGTTACTTTAGATAACTTTATCTAATGTTCATCAAAACGACGTCGTTTTGGGGCGAAAATTATGGTATTTTTGTAATTTTAATTTATTTAGGGTGATAATAGTCTTTATCATTCTAATTTTTTAATTTTTCAACCTTAAAATGACGTCGTTTCGATGAACATTAGACAAAGTTATCTAAAGTAACATCAGATACTTTTTTCCCATATATATATATATATAAATGGTTTCTCGTTTCTACTATTGTTGTAGATGGGAAAAGTTGAAGCAAACATATTTACATTAGGATACGAAACTGGATCCTGGAATAAAAAAAACAGGATACGAATCCGAATCTTTGTAAATTTGAGTTCTGCAAATTTTCTAATCTGCTGCAACAATAGAGTTATTAAAGCAATATATATATATATATATATATATATATATATATATATATATATATATATATATATATATATATATATATATATATAGGATTTAGCGGATGTACAGTGAATGCACCTAGGGATTGGTGCAGTCATATAAAACTACGTTGTTTTATAATGTGAAAGCATTAATTTCAGAAATCATAATCATACAAAAGTGAAAATAAATATAAAACATTAAATATGAAGAATCATAACCATACAAAGGTGAAAATAAATATAATGTTTCCTTTTTCTTCAATTAATTTTGAAAGCGAACTTCTTTTTTCTCACCTAAAACGGCGTAGTTTTTAGGTGACTACACTAAACTTATATGCAGTCACGTTATAATTCATTTTGCGAATTTGGTGCAAGACTTATTGTTCTTACACCGGTGTAAGATGATCATGCCCCATATATATATATGGGAGAGATCTTTTGACTCTAGAGTAAGACTTACAACTCTTACTCTTTATCTCAACCGTTGATTTCCGTTCATCTAACGGTTATTATTTATTTGAAATAAATAAATAATTAATTGTTATAGACAACCGTTAGATGGACGGAAATCAACGATTGAGATAAGGAGTAAGAGTTGTAAGTCTTACTCTAGAGTCAAAAGATCCCTCCCTATATATATATATATATATATATATATATATATATATATATATATAACTAATGATTAATTAATTCTATAATACATTCTCCAAAAAAAAAAAAAAATCTATAATATAGCTGCCATGTCTACAATATTTTATTCCTGCACGAGGAGGACCGCAGATGATAACAGCTGTAACTAAGAAATTGAGAAAAGGATAAGAACGACACGGACACATTTGTCTCTTCCTTCTCTTTGATAAGTTCAATAACACTATCGAAAGAATTTATCACGAAGCACGTACATCAATTAGTTATTCTAACTAATTAACTTAATTAGTAATTTTAAGTTCAAGTTT